GATTAATGCATTAATCAATAAATTGCATCTTTAATTTATACAGGAATGAAATAAATTTTTATCTACTCATATTCATGTAATTAAGTGTTTTAATGATTTGGCCGATGAATCGATTATTAAAATAACCGTTAGTTGCAGCTCTAAGTTTAAACTTCTCAGAATATTGAAAGTTCCTGATAGAAAAAAATGATTTATTTATTTCCTTTTTAAAAACATCTGCTTCAGCTTCCTGCTTTGTTTTGATTTATTGCTACTTTTTTAACAGCTAGCTTTAGCTTGTAGCTACCAATTTTGCTGCTTTTGGCTTAGGTTTTGGTGATTTTTACCTGCTGTGTTTCTGATTCTAGCTTTAGCATCGGTTTTGCTAACAGCAGCATGCTTTATTTATTTTAGCTGCCGTGTTAATAATTTTAGCAACTTTTTGATCTTTGAGGCCTCTTTCGGTTCTGCAGGGCTCACTTTAAACTCCTGCAAACACAAAGGTTTTATAGTTTATTCATTCAATGTCACGTAATAATAAATTGGCACGAAAAGGCAGAAAACTTTGGTTTCTGCAGGAACCTTGTTTTTGTGTTTTGTCTTAAAGAAGCAGAAGTGTGGCTCTGAAGTGCGAAGATGCTCTTCATGTGTGAACTGAGATCAAAGTGCTCCATGTGGAACCACAACAGTTTCCTGTGTGACTGAACGCTCTGTTCAGCACATTAACTGACTCCATGATGTTCCCACATTAAAGTGTCAAACTGTTGAATTTTTAGGTTGTGAAACAAAACCTGCGTGTTTGACAGAGTTTAGTTTTACAACGGAACAGATACTAAAGGTTAAATATTGTAGCCCTGTTGAAAAGGGAAGTTAAAAATATTTTTGCACGTTTAACGTGTTGAGTGCGTTAAAAATAACGAAGCAGCGACTTCTCATCTTTTCATGTAGCATCGGTTTGGTTTTACTTTTAACAGAATTAAATACAATTACAACATACAAAGCAAGAATACTGTACAACAAACTTTTTAAACTATTTACAGGAAAATAAAGTCAAAATTTGACAGAAATGAGGAAAAATGTTAAAGGGTACCTATTATGCAAAACTCACTTTTTTCATGTTTTTAAACTTACTTTTGGGTCTCTACTGCTTAGAGAAGCAGTCCAAACGCCAAAATAAATAAATAAATAAATGCACCCAGCCGTTTCTTAGCTGTAATTACATGTATTTTTAGGTATCTGGAAACATGGTATTTCTTCATGTTATGCTGACGTCACAATAACAGTCACCTAGCAACCTAAACCAGAGTCCTGCTCCTCATGAGGCAACCCGAGGTGAAGCTCCGCCCACTTCCTCAAAAGATGATAGTTGTGCTGTTTTTACAGCAGCCATGGACAACAGAGATGCCTGGATTAATTAATTTTTTTTATCTTTGATGACAATTTTCCAACAATATTGCCAAAGAAAGCTGTAGTTTGTGAAAATAGTTTCACTTTTGGAAACTTCTACCATGTCGGGGGGGCGGAGCTAACGTAAACTTGTGCTAGGACCCCCATAATAGGCCGCCTTTAAATAGAAAAAAATGTAATGTAGATTTAAAAAGCTCAGTGACGTTTGTGTTAGTGACTCGTCATCTTGTGTGTGTTCAGAGCGTGCTGCACTCCTCTCAGGACGACCCCGTCAAAGATAGGCCCCGCCCGCTGTCCAGTATCTCCCGGCAACACAAAAGCAAGTCCCTCATCACCCGCACAGCTTCAGGTAGGCCTCCTGTAACACCTGGGGGGAGCTGTGGGACAGGTGTGATTTGTGTGCACCTTCATGTGTCCATCTCTGTGTATCGGTTCAGATTTTGGGGGCGGAGCTTCAATTCGCAGAGAAGAACTGGACCACGACTTAGACCGAGAGGTACCCCAGAATCCTTTTACCAACATGCATCATTAATCATTGATGGTACTGATTCTCTCTCTCTCTCTCTTCATACTCTCTCGGTGTCTCTCATCCAGCCGGACTCGGACTCCACCAAACACTCGACCCCCTCCAACAGCTCCAACCCCAGCGGGCCCCCCAGCCCCAACTCCCCCCACCGCAGCCAGCTCACCCTGGACGGCCTGGACGAGCCCTGAGCCCCGCTGCCCCCTTGCACACACTTTAAGCCCCGCCCCCACAGACTTTAAATGTGGGTGTGTGCTTTATGAACAAATCAGGCTAAAAAAACTGAGTTTAACTTTTACTTTAAGGATTTTATTGTGACGGAGTGAGTTTGAGATTACTGCTGCTTTTATTCTGATAGATTTTACCTGCTGGGAAGCCCCGCCCTCTGGTTTTAACCACGCCTCCGCTCCTTTCCTACCGCTGGCCACTGCGTCATCCAGACTGGCTCATGGGACCACTCACTTTCTGTTCTTCCTTCTCTGTATTAAAAAACACTTTCCGTTGAGCTTCAGTGCGTGTTAGCCGCTGAGCTAACTGGCTAATTCCTAAAAGACAAGAGGTCTCACTCTGAAGAAAAAACAACAACACTGTATTAATTGTTTTAAAGTTTTGTTAAAGTTGCACATCATCATAATTATCGTCGTCGTAGAGGAAAAATGATCTTTTGATTTGTACGTGATGATCTATACTCTTCTCCTCACTCTCTCACCTTTATTCTGACTCCGCCCCCTGCTCCACGGTGGGGGCAGGTGTGCGACGTCGCACCTGAACACTACTGCTTCTGTTTCTTCCAGAATCACAATTTAAAGAATCTTTGTTATGATAAAACTGTTAGCAGCCAAAAAAAAAACAAACAAAAAAAAAATGCAATAAACGAACCTGAAGAGAATCAGTGTCAGTGTTACACCTGCACAGGTACACAACAGTTTTGATGTAATTTATATTTGAAACTTATGAGATCACAAGAAGGCATATCTGCCAGCGGTGACACAGTGATGACCCCCCCGGCCCCCACATCATTAAACCTCATGTTGTTTTTGTCGAGCGTTATTTCAACTCAGCTGATTTCAGGTCAAGCATCAAATATTAATTCAGCCCTCAGTTCTGTCTGGCAGGCGCGTTCATAATTAATGGTCTCTGTGAGGATCGGCCAATCAGAGTGACGGCTCAGCCAATGAGAACAGAGAAGAGTTTCTGCAGGAACAGTAAAAATTAATAATTAAAATAAAAAATATTCACATAGATACTTGGAAGAAAAAAAGTTTGTTAAATTTTGTGTTTAGATTTAAAAGCAGAAAGAGTGAGCAGGTGGGGAAAGAACCTTTAGTGGTTTTGTTTGTTCTCATTACATTTATGCAACTAGACATATTTTTTCACTGTGAACTTTTGACTTTTTCACTCGTATTTGAACTGAAACTTCCTGTTCTCACACACACACACACCACACACACAGCTCTGTGTGAAAATTTACAAGTCAAGTCTCACCCTCATCTGCAGCTCAAATATGAGCAAAAACGCACGTCATCAGGAAGTGTGTGTGTGAGTTCACAGGTTCAAGACGAACTGATCAGAGGTGTGTGTGTATGTGTGTGTGTGTATGTGTGATCTGTTCAAAGCTGTCAGATGCAGGTGAAAGCTGCAGTCTGACAGGTCTGAGCTGAAAAATGTCTCTACGGCAGGAAGTCCACCTCGTCTGCTCGATGAAGGCTGTGATGACTGATTCATTTCCTTTTTCCTTTCAAATTTACGTAATTTCTTGAGGTTTCGGATGAGTTTCACATTTTCTGATTGCAGGATTACAGAACCAACGCCTGTAGACCTGTTTAATCCCACACAAATTATACCTTGTTCTCAAAGCTGCTGGTTCCTAACGTCACATGAAGCAGCTACCTTGGGATGTGCAGAGCTTCTTTTTTTTAAAGGCTCACTGTACAAGTAGCAGTCAAAAGAAGATAAGAAGTGTCTACAAGTCACAGTCCATCCGTTTTCTTCCTCTTATCCGGGGTCAGGTCTCGGGGGCAGCAGCCTAAGCAGAGAGACCCAGACCTCCCTCTCCTCAGCCACTTGGGCCAGCTCGTCCGGGGGAATCCCAATGTGTTCCCAGGCCAGCCCAGAGACATAGTCCCTCCATCATGTCCTGGGTCTTCCTCTGGGCCTCCTCCCWGTGGGACGCGCCCGGAACACCTCACCAGGGAGGCGTCCAGGAGGCATCCTTACCAGATGAACCACCTCAACTGGCTCCTCTCGACGTGGAGGAGCAGCGGCTCTACTCTGAGTCCCTCCCGGATGACCGAGCTTCTCACCCTATCTCTAATGCTACATTCACACCAAAGGCGTTGCGCGCCTCCAAAAATCTCAAAACGCAYGCATCCCAACACTGGTGTCCAGTGAGGACAGATACATTTGTTCTGAACATGGACGCGCGATAGGAGGAGCCTTTTAACAGTAGTTTCGATAACTTACCAAACATGCCGACTTCCTCACTAATCGTCCTCCAGGCAAAGTCCTTTTTATTTCTGTCATGATAATGGACACTGGAATGATCACAAATAATCGGACTATCAGTTTGCATTCCATTGTTTGTGTAATCCAATTTCCMGGGCTTCTGGTATTTCCGGCTCGTCACCAGTACGTCACTGAGCAGAGTCTCTCTGATTGGTTCATGCGACGTGTCAAGCGGCAAAAGGTCAGATTTTCCAACTTGAGCGTCGGACGTTTGGGACGTGCTGCACCCACGGAAAACGCTCATGACGTGCACCTCTTCGAACCGTGTTGCTCAAAATGCACCAGACGCGCTGCTCAGCCTCTAGACGCCACTAGATGCGCGTCCACCATTGACTTTGCATGTAAACCAGATGCTCCTGATGCTCAAAATGCGTTTGGTGTAAATGTAGCATAAGGGAGAGCCYAGACACCCTGTGGAAGAAACTCATTTTGGCCCCTTGTAAAAACATTCTCGTTCTTTTGGTCACTACCCAAAGCTCGTGACCATAGATGAGGGTAGGAACGTAGACCGACCAGTAAATCGAGAGCTTCGCATTCTGTCTCAGCTCTCTCTTCACCACGACAGACCGGTACAAAGCCCCCATCGATCTCCCGCGCCATTCTTCCCCACATTCAAGACCCCGAGATACTTACACTCCACTTGGGGCAYGACCTCCTCCCCAACCTAGAGAAGGCACCTTACCGGTTTCSGGCTCAAGACCATGGTCTCAGATTTGGAGGCACTGATCCTCATCCTGGAGCTTCACACTCGGCTGCAAACCGGTCCAGTGAGAGCTTGAGATCACGATCTGATGAAGCCAATAGGACCACATCATCCCCAAAAAGCAGAGATGTGATCCTAAGGTCACCAAAAGGATCCCCTCAACACCTTGACTGCACCTAAAAATTCTGTCCTTAAAAATTATGAACAGAATCGGTGACAAAGGACAACCTTGGTGGAGTCCAACTCTCACCGGAAACGAGTCTAAAAGTCATCTATTTTTTAAATAAAAGGACCAAAGTCCATCAAAGATTGGATTTAGGACTCAGCCACAATTGATCCAGTAGGGCTGTCGAACCATGGGACAAGCCAGTCATGGATCTGCATATTGGTGTTTCTGATGCCCATCCTGGCACAGGATTAGTAACCACAGCGCCACATTAAGGMATTCATGTTTTGGAGTTACATCTGTTTTTGTTTTCTTACTGAAATGTCCAGTTTCACTGGTTCATCCCTTGACTTACCAGTTCTGTTAATATGACTCAACACGAGAACTGAAACTGGATGAAGAAACTTTACAAAAACTGGAGGACTGCTAATGAACTTTAACAGATCACAAGAAAATCTGGTCGATTGGAAGGAAACAAGTTGTATTTAATTTATATTAAAAAACAAAACAGAAAAATCTTTAAAAAAAATTAATTTTTTTAGTTTGTTCAAACATCTTCAATCTCCACTTTCAGTGAAAGATAAATGTCTGTCTTCATCCTGGACCTGAACCTGATCCTTGTCCCAGAACACTCAAGGGACAAACCTTTGATGGTTTTTCAAAAGAAGTTGGAACTTCACTGAGACCAGGATATTTTCAAGAAGCTCAGCAAAAACCATCGGACCTTTCAGTGAGACTCCAAAGACCAGCTTCTGGATTCAGTAGTCCACTTTAGTTCAGTGTTTGGTCTTTCGTGTCTTTAACGGGGCTGCTGGATTCAGTAGTCCATTAGACCGATGTTTGGCTGGTCTTAGACCGGTGCTTGTCTCTCAGTTTCTATCCCAGAAAAGACCTCTAAGGACTTGTCTGACGGCTGGATCTGGTTCTGGCTGCTGTTCGAAGGCGTCCAGCTGCAGAACTGTGTGAAGCCTTGGTACAGTTCCTTACGGATGTTGTTGCTGGACAGGACGTAGAGGATGGGGTTGATGGCRCTGTTGATGGTGGACAGGCCGAGGGAGATGGTGTAGGGGGTGTACAGAGTCCTCTCGAACAGACAGGYGTCACCGTTAGCCGGGGGGACTTGGAAGAGGACGGCCCGGGTCAGCAGGATCAGGTGGTAYGGAGCGAAGCAGACCAGGAACAGCAGCACCACGGCCATCGCCAGCCCCCGGACACGCTGCTTCTGCACCTGCTGCAGCCCCTCGCTGCGCTGCACCTTGGCCAGGATGCCGCGATTCGTCACCATCAGCAGCAGCAGCGGGAGCAGGAAGCCGATGGCGAAGCGGGCGTAGTTCAGGCTCATCACCGTGGTGCTGGTCTGACTGGGCTCGAAGCAGCGGCCGGAGCCCTGCGCGGCTTCGCCCTCCTTCATGGTGAAGACGGCAACATGGCCGACGGCCACCACCATGACTATGACGACGGTGGTGAGCACGGCGTAGCGCKGCCGCCTCAGGCCACGTGCCTCCAGGCTGTACACCACCGCCACGTAGCGGTCGAAGGAGACGCAACAGAGCAGGAAGATGCTGACGTACATGTTGGTGAAGAAGATGTAGCCCGTCAGTTTGCAGGCGGCCGAGCTCCACCGCCAGTCATGATCTCTGCTGACGTAGTCCGTCCACAGAGGAAGCGTGCACAGGTAGGTCAGGTCACACATTGACAGGCTCCACAGGTAAATGCCGAGCACGTTCTTCCTGCGCACCTGCTGCCAGGTGAGGAAGACAGTCAGCAGGTTGGCGGGAAGACCGACCACCAGAACGGTGATGTAGAGAACCATCAGTGGCAGGCGGCCCTCGGCATACGGCACCGCGCAGCTCCCTGAGCTTTGGTTGTAGAGGGAGCCGACCTCCATGTCAGACGGCCAATCAGATTGAAGGATCTGTGTCTGCAGGCAGGAACAGCCAATCAGGGTGATGAGTCTGTGTTCGGGTGGAAGGAACGATCAGATTAGAGGATCAGCATCTGTAAGGAGAGACAAAAGTAAAAGAAGTGTAGAGAACAGTTCAGCAGCACTGTTGCCTCACAGAGAGGAGGTCCAGTGTTCAAACCCTGGTTTGGAGATCAGGTTTGTATGTTTTCCTTGTGTTTGTGTGCGTTTTCACCCGGTGCTCCGGTTAGCTCAAATAAACTGGCCCTGGAGGACTTTAAAGAACTGATCTGTGGTCTGAGTGTTTGCCTGGTTTAAAATCAAGCTTTTTTTTCCATCTTGAATAAATAAGTTTTTATTATCTTAGTTTTGACTTATGACTTCTGTTGCCTTTAATTTAGAATTTTTTAAATTTTGCCTTAATTTTCTGAAATTTTGGAACCATTCGGGCCCAATATATCAAGAAATGTACAGGTGTTAGACTGAAACACCTGGTTTTAGACCATAGCATCCCTATTAGACAGCTTCCTCTTTCGTCCACAGTTAATCCTGTTGGATGTGGTTGGTCCTTCTGCAAGATTCAAGTAGTTTTAATTGTCAATGCAGGTCCTTCTCA